AGAACGCTGCCCAAGCGATTCCTCTTGGGGGCAAACAGAACTAAAGTTTCAAGTTTACTAAGTGCAAATCCAAGAAAAACCTAAAACGGCGGAACTTCTCAGACACTGATGAACTGTGCTGTGAAGCGAAACACTCGAACCTTCAAGTGACTGTCCTTGGGGAGGTGGGTCGACAGCTCAGGAGCTCTGCACACTGTCTCGGAAGCCAAGATTGCATTTGTGTTGCTGCTGTAACCCCTGCCCCCACTTCTCTATTTAATGATATAAGCTATTTGAGGGTGGTACCAATCAGGAATTTGCTTTTCATCGGGGCTTTTTCACTCTTCAACCAATTCCTTCTGCTTTCTTTTTTTGTGCCTTGTACCCTAGAGGTTACCTCTGGCATGCTTCCTGGTTTTTACATCTCTCCTGGCAAAGTGCCCATTGGTTTTGGTTGGCTGCTGCCCCCTTCCTGCCCCTCTCCTCCCTGCCCTGAGACTGTGTCAGAGCAGGTGGAGTAGAGCAGCAGGAGATCAGGCACCTTCCGGTGGCTCTGGGTTCAGGTGGGCAGTGTTTGGGCACACCCTGTGCCCTGCGTGGAGTCAGTCCCAACTTCCAGGGCCCCTGGGGCTATATGTGTCAGCCTCATTTCCCAAGGGCTGGCCTCCTTGGTTCAGGACATGCCCTCGCCTCCTGGAGCCATGGAGGCTAGGGGTTTGCAAGCCACAGTAGCCCAGATTGACATGCAAAGCCTTTGGATTCTTCTGGCACCTCCACCCTATCTCCCTCGACTCTAGCCACCACTGGCACTGCTTTCTCCGGCCCTCCGAGAACAAAATGACTGACTATGAGCTTGTCTCCTTAGGATAGTACAGGGCTGGGAAGGTTGGGAGCAGGCAGCAGGAATAGCCGGTGCTGAACTCTTCCACGGGACATTGCTTGGATTTCAAATCCATGGAAACCTGCTGCCCTTTGTCCCTGTCCCCTGTCCCCAACACCCCAAACCCCAGGCAAGATGCTCCTGGCATCATGTTCTGACTCTCAGAGGCAACAAGTGGATGGCGTCTCATCCCCAGCGCGTGTGGTCGCCTCCACTGGGAAGCGGACCTTAATGATTGGGCCTCAAAGGCCAGAAACAAGGCACTGAGGAACTGGGAAGATTTGCACACACCCCCAGAAAGGAGCCACGGAGGCTCCCCTTTCCCCTGCCCCCGATTGCACCGAGACAGCTTTCTCTCACTCAGTGGAGACACCCCTTGGACGAACTGCCGACTGTTGAGTTCTGAGGCCTGGGTAGCCCTTAATTCCTCCACAGACCCCACAGACCTTGAAGCTTCCCCTGCGCTTTCTTACTGCACTGGCGTTCTCGCTCCCTATGAGTTGTGTGTTGGGGGTGGGGGAGTGGGATGTTTTGTTGTTTGTTTGTTTTGTTTGCTAACTGGTGCATATTCAGGTGCCACCTTTTGACGTGTGGACCTTTCTCCTAACCACCATGAGAGGTGTCTGCCAGGCTCCATTTTCTAAGAGTTTCTGAGGGGAGAGCTCCTGTTTCTTTTTCTGTTTTCAAGGGAGCTGTCTATTTCCTATACTTCGCGAAGAATCAAAATGTTCCTGAATTTTAAATACCTCATGCAAAAATATCTCCTGAAATAAGGGAAGAAAAAAAAAAACTTTGAAAATCTTAATGTTGAAGTTAGCAATGCTAAAATGTTTCTGTCTTAAGAAAAAAAAAATTCTTGTACTTAGCAATTTTGCCCCTCAGGCGGTCAGTTCTATGAAGAACTGTGTTCTGCATCTTTGCTGGGAAGCAACCAGATGCATGACCTCCAACATATCTCAAGGTCAAGGCGGCTTTGCCTCCAGATTCTAGAGTTAGGGTAACATTTTTCTTTTGCAGCAAAACTCCATTTTGGTAAAAGATGAATTTGAATATTTATTTCTTTTTCTGGGAAATGAGAGGTTACAACATACACAGCTGAAGGAGAACCCAACACATGCATCCACGGAGCCAGCAGGCGGCCAGGGCCGCCTGCACCTCTTCTGTCCACTGCAGCCTCCGGACAGTGAAGAGGAGTTGACACAGTTGAGGATGAGGACAACGATGAGGTCCACGGTACCCAGGCTGTCATTAGTTTTTCTCTGAAGTGCCTGAAGGTAGGAATGGGCCGTTGATGGGGACCATCCGGATGCCCCCCCCGCCGACGGCCATGCCAGGCAAAGAGCCAGCAGCCCTGCACTGCACGCTGGCCACAAAAGCCTTCCATGTGGAGCGGTCAGACTGCAAAATCCAATGTGCTTCCTTCCCCGCCACGGTCCTCTCTCTGGAGCCAATGGTCCCCGTCCCTGAACCCCTCACCCTCATCCCCGCCACAGAATCTTAAGACCTTTCATCTGGCCGAGCCAGGGGCTGGGGATCTCAAGCAAATGCCTTCCGTGGACATCAGGCCCCATGGCCTAAAGGGCTCCCAGGGCAAACTTCCCCCAAAACTTGAAGGCGGGGGAATGGTGGCTACACACATTCCACAAAGTGCTGGCACTTAATACCCACAACCCTGAAGGCTATTGACCGATTCTTAGAGGGTGGTGACTGCCCATCATCAGACGGTGTCATGGTTTGGAATGTTAATTATTGCCGAGGACCTGGTTAGAGATATAAAGACCTTTTTTTTTTTTCACTGTTACCTATTTTTTTCCTCTTACAATTTTTTTTGGTGTGTTGTACAGCAGTATAATTTTTCACTTATTTATTCCATCGATAGATATTGTTTGTACAATGTACAATGGTTTCATTTCAGAAAATAAAAAAAATTCAGATCATGAGTTCGGTGGCTTAACCCTTTGTAATAAAGAATAAAGTCGGGTGGATAATGAGGGTGCCCTCACCAGCGGCTCTTCTGCACAAGTTTGGGAAGTTCCTTGTAGGAGACTCTGCTGCCGGACACAGTTATGATAGCTGCCATCATTAAACACCAGGTAGGTCCGAGCCGCTCCACACTCCTTTTTGTGGGTGAGTGTTGTCAATCACCTAGTACACCAGAATGAACAGCAAGGTTGTACCTTGTCCAGTCTGGTAGAGAGCTCCAGTCTAAAAGCTATACCTGGGAGCCAGAATTTGTGGTGCAGACCTATAGTTCCAGCACTTGGCAGGCTGAGGCAGAAGGATTGCTGAGAGTTCAAGGCCTGGGCTACTTAGCAAATAGCAAGGGCTAGCCAGGGCTACATAGCAAGACCCTACCCCTGGTTTCAATTCTCAGCACCACATAAAACAGGGAGGTGGCACATGCCCATAATCCCAGCATCAGGAAGGTCTGGGGAGGATTTAGAAGTGCAAAGTTTTCCTAGCTACATAGCAAGTTCCAGGTCAGCCTGGGATACAGGACACCAAATGAGAGAAAAAAGATTCTGTCATGGTAGCAATTCTGGCAGGTAAATACTGAAGAGGATGAGGAAGGAGGATCAAATGTTTGAACCAGCTTGGAGAGCTAGCTGGAGAGCTAGCTCAGCAGTTAGTGACACTCACTGTCCTTGCACAGGCCATGGTTCTGCTATTGGCACCAACATAGCAACTCACAGCCATCTGTGACTCCAGTTCCTGGGGATCTGACACACCCTTCTGGCCTCTCCAGGTACCAGGAATGCATGTGATGCACATACATATTGGCAGGCAAAACACACACACACACACACACACACACACACACACACAC